GATTAACAGACAAAATAAAGAAAAATAATTTGTAGCAAATTTGTTAGATAAAATAAAACTCGTATTCGCTTGGTTCAATGGAAAAGTGATCCAAGTCCATATTGAATAATTCTGTATGTGGTTACTCCGAGGATTACTCGTACTGGAATAAGGAGAAAAATATGTTTTTATTCTCATTTTTATTATTAATATTGTTATTATATTTTCTTAATATTTTTTTTATTTATTTCTTATTTTTATTATTATTTTTTTATTAATATTATTAGCATTAGATTATTTTTTTACTTAGGAACGGCGATTTGTTTCTGATAAAATGAAACTACAGAACATTTCCAGAATTTAATTTCTTTGAATTTAAAACTAGTGACACGATAGACATAATCAGACTTCTTTTCTTAGGCAGAAATAAAGGCAATATAGTTTAATTGATATTACCAAAGAATATATTACTCACCATATCTGCATCGTTTAGATGAGCATTGTTTGACGCACAAGACAAATTTATGTAGTAGTCTCGCAGAAATTCATCTACAAACTTTTTCAAAGATTGTAACTGCTCATACTTGAGTTTGGGCAAAGGAATTAGATCAGCATAAAGTTGTTGTGGTGCGGAATTTATAGCTATTTTTATTCGTTTTGTATGCGTTGATATGTTTACAAACATGAAATATGGACTTGGATCGGTCTTCCGTGAATCCACGTGGACTTTTAGATCGCTTTTTCAAAGCATTAATATTTTAATCGCTGATTTTAGTGGACTTAGATTATTATTTCAGTGTTACATTATTCTTATTTTGGAACGGACACTTGATGGGCATAAGATGGCAGTGTTATCTCAATTTCCATTTTTTTGGACTTAGTCCGTTTTTCCCGTGTAGTCTTCAAATGATTAATTCGACGCGAACGAAGTCGCTGGTACACACTAGTATACATATAAAATCCTGAAGTGACTCACTGTTTAATCACGATCCTGCTCAAACCACTCAACGTAAGAAGTTCAATTTTGGCATACAGGTTGATTCTAGGGTGTAGAGGTTCGATAAGAAGGGATTTTTCGAAATTCCAGTTCCAAGGGGGTGAAACCACCACCCCCCAAATAATACAATACTTTTTATTTAAAAAACGGTCAAGTTTACGAGAAAACGCTTAAACACGTATATTTTAAGATTTTTTAAAAATATATACAGGGTGTTTCAAAAAATCTGGTCATTGATTAATCACGATCCTGCTTAAAGCGCTTGACGTAAAAAGCTGATTTTTGGAAAACGGATTGACTTTAGGGTGTAGAGGTTCGATAAGAGGGTATTTTTCGAAATTCGAATTCTAAGGGGGTAAAACCACCCCACAAATATTACAATATTTTTTATTTAAAAACCGGTGAGTTTTTCGGAAAAATTCTTAAACACGTATATTTTATTCTGTTGTTTTACATATTTTAAGATTTTTTAAAAATGTATACAGGGTGTTTCATAAAATATGACCATTGAGTAATCACGATTCTGCTTAAACTGCTTGACGTTTAAAGCTGATTTTTGGCAAACGGATTGACTGTGGGGTGTAGAGGTTCGATAAGAAGGGGTTTCTCGAATCTCAAATTCCAAAAAGGTGAAAACGCCCCACAAATATTACAATATTTATTATTTAAAAAACGGTTAGTCTTTCGGGAAAACGCTTGGACACCCATAATTTATTTTGTTTTTTTACATATTTTGAAATTTTTAAAAAAAAATACTTTCTTAATATTTATGCTATATTTTTTTCGCAGACAGTATGTGAAAATCCTTGTAAATAAAAAATTACATGATAAAAATTGCTATGCACTAAAAGTAAATGGATGTTTTTTTTAAATTTTTGAATGAAAAAAACATCTTGTAAAAGATCCAAAATTCAAAATAAAAAAAGTTTTAATATCTAAAGTGGTTCTTCAGTTATCGCGGTATAACAGGGTCCCTAACGATATCCTTATAATATTCTTTTCCAAAATAATGTCTGTTAAAAATAAGCGATTTGCGATCGTGATTTTACTATCATCAAGATGGGAATAGTAAATATATATGAGGCGCGCATGGCTTTTGGTTGTTACATCTCTGGAGATTCCTTTCTAGGATCAGTAACAGAAGGAAGAGAAAACTTTGCAGCCATCTCAAAACTGGACCAAAATAGCGGCGAGTGGAATGGGAGACCTCCAACGGTCTAAAACACTTGAAAAATTTCCTCAGAAGTTATGACCGAGAAAGATCAAGGATTTTTTTTGATTTAAGTAATAACAATCTTCGGATGTCACGGTCTCATTAACGAACACCTCAGTAGGCTGAAGCTGAGGAACAACAGCGAATGCAGATTCTGTGGGGAAAATGGGGAAACAGGACCTCTTATCCCTGAGTGAACCAAAAAGCTGGGTAATTGATTAACCACGATTCTGCTTAAACTGCTTGACGTAAAAAGCTTATTTTTGGCAAACTGATTTTTGGAAAGTCAAATTCCATCGAGATGAAACTACGACCTCAAATATTACCAAGTTATACATATAATAATATTGCCATATTGTTTTTTTTTCTCATGCTGACATAAATGTGAGAAAATTTTATCCATTTGTATGTTAATGGAAATTCTTGCTTTTCTTTATCATCACCATTACAAATGATTACTTCGACGTACTTCGACGCGAACGAAGTCGCGGGTACACGCTCCTCATGTTATAAAATTATTAGCGAATGATTGATAGTACCTATCACACTATAGAAAAAAAGGATTCAAAGACGGCTGGGGAATGACAATCAATGATACTTTTGGCGAGGTCAAGCTCTAGACTAGACGTCATTGGCCCCTCGGCCCGTACTCTTCTTTATTTTTTTAATGGCACTTACCTACTGACAGTTACCTTTAAGAAAATTGTAATTTGTAATTTTTGTATTGAGTAATAGTATATTGTTTCATTAGGAGTAAAAATACTTTCTTTTTGATGTTACAGGCATGAAAAGTAAGTTTTACTCCGAGTAGAACATGCTATTTTTTCTCAAACGTCACAAATAATTGTTTAAACACTTTCAAACGTTACAAATAATATAAAAAAATTTAAAAGTAATACCTTGTAAGTTATTATATACAGGGTCGCTTTTATGGTTTTTTAAGGTTTTATGGAAATTATCGATTATTAGGTAAAGTATACAAGGTACAGCAAAAATTAAATACAAAAATTATAGCGTTTTTAAATGTCTATTATCGAGTAATAAATTTACGTATACAGGGTCGGTCATAGAGTTTGGTTTGGTTTGCATATTTTAATTCTTCCTTCAATTCTAAGCAAAAATCGAAATACACACAATGTACCTCATACCAACCATTTCCAAATTATTGACTTTTGAAAATATCACTTAAAAAATTCGATTTAATTAATTTCGATGTGTTCGATTTGATTTAATGATGTCATTCTGCCGAAACTGTGATACTTAATAATATTTGACATTAGTTCTCAAGTTAGCATTTATAAATGTATAAAATGAGATTATACCAAGTCTGGAAATTACAAAATTTTCCTTTAACATTCCAATTCTTCAATTTATGTACATTGTGTATTACGATTATTGCTTAAAATTGAAGGAAGAATTGAAATGTGCAATAATATACGGGGGGTTCCATTTGAAAAAAAAGTTTGATGTGACACAACTTTATGACCGACTCTGTATTCTGATACTTATATATAACATTTTAAACTTAACCAAAAAAAAAATTACGCAGCGTGTTTTTGCAAAAAGTTGATTTATATACAGTTTGCTAAAAAATTCATGAAAATAGGGTTAAAAGTAAAAAAAATATAACACTTAAACACTTTAAATTTGACGAAAAAATGTTCCCTTGCGTTTTTTTTGCATCTGAGCGTAGATGTACCGTTATCGCAGAGACTCATATATTTCATTTGATGTAAGTACAGTGGCGCAGCAAGAGATTAAGTCTGGGAGGGGTAGTGGCAATATTTAAATAACGTACCTACTACATTTAAATTAAATTTTCGCTAAAAGGTATTGTGAATATGGAAAAAATAAACTTGGATTGGACTGGATTTTCTATTATGATTGATATTAGGTAAATTAATTTCTTTTGTGTAAATTTTATTTTGTACTACATTTTCTTATTTATAAATCATTTACTGGGGGGGGGGGGATTAATTACCCCCATTACCGCTCCCCTAAGTACATAGGTACCCATGTGTAAGTACGTACCTAAATAAAAAATTATATAAAAATAAACAATATAGTAGTTAATGAAGTTAGCGATTTATATTTACCTTTGCCTGACTACAAATTATATTTTCTACCTTTCGACCTATATAGCAAACTGATACATATCTAGTTTTCGCTGAAATAAGTCAGTGACCCCTTTCCATCCTCATGGTAGTTACGCCACTGCAAAACTCTACCTACAATTTTTGCTTAAAAGGTAAAATAACAATTTTAGTAATTATTAGGCTCACATGAATGTTTCGCTAATTCTACAAGACCTAGGTAGGTAAACTTGGAAAAATTAGCTATACTTAGGTAAAATTTCTATTATTTTCAGAAATATGTATATGATCAAGAGAGCATTGAACGTTGACAAGCTATTAATTATTTTTCTTTATTCAGTATCTACCAGGAAAACCTCTTTGTAAAATATTCTAAAGTAGGTAGTACCTAGTTTGTCTTAACATTTCTTGCTGCAATAATAACAAAAAATCAAAAGTCCGCATAATTAATAATGTAAGCAAGGAATTATACACAATTGTCACTATTATATTAGCATGAAAAATACATAAAATCTGCCTATTTTCTTTTCTAAAAAATTGTTGTCGTTAAGTAACCATGTAATTATTTACTTAACAGTAAAAAACCGAAGTATAAAAAAGACTGAATTGTGCGTCGACGACTGCACTGCACCTCCTGTTTACACTGCTCTCCAAGCGTGTATTTATGTCGAAAATTATAGGTTTTGTATACGCACAGGTGAAAATTTCTCCGACTTACCTGAGTTGTATTGTTGGTTTTCGGAAGCCGTCACACAGTATCCGAGCACAAGAACACAAAACACCCGCACTAGGAGCATGTCTGTTAAGTTTTTTAACTCCGTGAACTTCACTTTTTCAAAATAGTTCTTGGTTATCGCGAAATATTAGTGCATACCATTAAACGTCATGGACGGGAAAAGAGTTGATCTCAACTCCCCGGATTGCCGCGACGTAGTTGGCGCAATGGTCGATAGAGGCGTTCACGCCGGTGGTCGATTGATTGAGAGGGGAGGATTTAGGATAATATATAGTGGCCCTAAAAAAGTGGTGATTTAAAATAAAAAACTATTAGATATAATATCGACAAAAAATTATATTTTAAGATAAAGGATAAAATATAATACTGTTATGTAAAAAAGTATCGTGTAACTACAATACAATAATAGCTGGGTATTTAAAAAAGATAAGATAAATTTAATTACTCTGTAATATTGATATACAATTTAATCGAAACTTCAAATTTGGACGTAATATAAAAAAAAATCAAAAATATTTTGTACATAATGGGTAGATATTTACAATTTAATTTGCTGTTGCTCTTGAATAACACTTAATAGGAACCCATTATTTATCAGATTTTTTTTTATATTGTAATGAGAGCCATTGGCCATATTCATAAAATGTAAAACATACTATAGTTTTCTTAAATAAAGACAGAGGTAAAGATAAAAGAAATAATTTTTATCTAAAAACTAAAAATGATAATTGCACATCTATGCAACCAAAGATACATGTATATAAAGAAATTAAATTGATTTTGCCTTATCAAAGGATAAATGAAATAACCATGTATCAAAATAAAATAAATTTCAATAAATCGTATATTACTGTTTGATTACTGTTCAAGTAAAATTACAAATTAAATTATGAAATAACTTCAAAATAAGCCTCCCCAGTCCCCACCTCAAAAAACTTCAATGCAGTATTTCCGCTTCTATACAATTGTACTGTATTCAGTACGAAATTATTAGATTCTCAGATACAGTATGATAGTCAATACAACTTTTAGAAATACCTCGATATTTAATACAAAATGCGAAAAGCAAAAAAATAAAATAATAAAATCAGCAGCTTTTCGATTAAAATAGCTATAAGATATTGTTAACTTATATATAAGTATATTTTGTGTATACGATAGAAGCGTCTGGATCTGGATTAAGTACAAGTGGCGCTATTGATTAATAATTATTAACTATAACCGATTTTTTAGACTTTAAAATGTTAATATAGTGCGTTTATTGCCTTTTATCAGTAGAAAGTTTTAAAATCGTGAATTCGTCGATTGAAGGACTAACTTTAATACCTTAAGCACACCACAAAAAAATGCGGTAATGTACTTTGGTAATTTTCATGTGTCTGTTGAAAATATTTTTAACATTGAACATGAATTTAAACATGTTCAAAGTTATTAAATTTTTTTTTGGTAATTAAAATTTCAAATTTGGTATTTTTTTCCAAATTCAGTACATTTTTCGAAAAAAATCAGTACAATCTCAAAAAACCCTGCGGCAACACTGAATAGTGGATGTCGATGATGTCAATGTCAATCTGACAGACGTCAAGTGTCACCAATCACCAATCGTTTGCGACGTTTGCGTTTCCTTTCTTTTTTATAGAGACTTCGTCAGAACGTCATGGCGCCGGTGAGATATTTCGAAATTTTCTATTATTTATTACATCCTAAGTTCTTTTTATTATTAAATATTTGTTTTATATTTCTAATTTATATTGGCACCATATCTAATAAATATTTTCTTCAGATAATCAGAAATAACCGTATTTCGTAGGAGTGTCAACTTATATTTTTCCTTAGATGATCGTTTCTACAGTTATGTGGTCGTCTAATTTCACATTTAGTCTGGCTGAAAGACAGCTAATTTTGTTGTTGATTCCAGACTAAATCAGCTCCAGCTGCAGCAGCTGTGGCTAAAGCTGCACCAAAAGCACAAGCCCCTAAAAAGCAGCAATTAAGGGGCAAAGGTTTAAAGAAACGTAAAGTGGCCTTACGATTTGTAATTGACTGTTCTCATCCAGTTGAAGATAGTATTTTGGATTTTTCCAATTTTGAGACGTACTTGAAACAAAGAATTAAGATTAATGGTAAAACCAATAACTTCAGTGGAGGAAAATCTAGCCAGCATGCTGTGACAATTGGAAGAGAAAAGAATACGAAAATTGTTCTTAGTTCAGAAATTCCATTCTCAAAAAGGTATTTTATTTTATTTTTAACTTTACATTGTAATTTTGGTATACCGTAATTTTTTCTCACATATCGTCGTGTACAAGCAAGACACACAATTCTTATTTAATTTTTGGCTTATTTATATCATTTGACTAGATTCATTCTAGAATATAGAGCTATATTGAGGAAAAATCTACTAAATCTTTTAAGAATTATAGGTTTCATATGAAGGGGTGGCTGCAATAACCAGGCAGCTCCATTTTAACAAATTGTGCTAGCCACACCAGGCAGCTCTAATAGCTGTCCGGTTTTTGTTGCAAACTGAAAGCAAGGTAGCTCCAGTTACGTTGCCATATAGGTACTATTCCACAACATGGCCTGATAACTGCAGCATAGGTTCGGCCTATTTTTAGAGGGTAACTTAGTAAAAATCTCATTTTCATAAAAAAGTGGAGCTGCCTGGTTATTGCAGCCACCCCTTCATATTTAAATCATTTTTTTATACATTAAGTTCATAATGGCGTGATATAACCCTTACCTTTAGTGTATTTCATTTTACAGGAAAAATTATATTTTATTATATATTATTTGTTCCATCAAAAATTTGTTTATTTTGGGCTTTGTGTGTTTTGCTTGAAGACTTCTATATATTAAATATATAAAAATTAAAATGCAGTCCCAGCTCCACACAATAAATTCTTTAATTGAATGTGGCGTTTAGTACTGCAAATATTATAGCTGTGCCTCGCTATGTTTACTAGTTAACACTATATCTGGTATATACAATGGACAGCAACAAATGCTTTAAAACAAAAGATTAAATTGGTAAAAAGCTTTTATTTTCGCTACATAATAATTGTTGTAGGTATTTGAAATATCTTACAAAGAAGTACCTGAAAAAGAACAATTTGAGAGATTGGCTTAGAGTTGTGGCAGATGCTAAGGAGTCTTATGAGCTGCGATACTTCCAAATCAACAATAATGAAGAGGAGGAAGATGATGAGGCAGAATAAAATGTATATTTTTTATGACCTAATAAATTATTAAAAAATGTCTGTTTATTTAATAGATTTTTTCTTCATTACCTGTTTATTCAGAATATTACCTCTGATGTTAGTTTAGTAGATAGGCTGTGTAAATATTTGTGAACTATTATTAAGTATTTATAGGTAAGTAATTTCAGTTATTCTAATATATCAATGCCTTGCAGTTGAATACCTATAAGAGTTATTAAATGAATATTTATTTTATTTGTGAACATGTGAACTTAGGTAACTATATTATTTTGATATAAACAGGTAATAGATTAGAAATTGCTAACAACTTTAAACTGAACTTGCTTTTAAGTCTGGGTAAACGTAAATCAAAGACCCTAAACTTTTTCATTTCTACATTTAATTTAAAAAATATTTAGACATTTCCAGGCTCATCCCTAGAGGCTTGTATTTAGATGGTTTAGAGCAGGGTTGTTAAGTAGTTTATGAAGCAATCAACTACGCGTAGTTTTTTGTGTTAACTACGTTTTAAAATTTTAAAAACTACACAAAAACTACCTACAAAAATATAGTAAAACATGGTAATGGTGTGGATCCGGTGGCTGACCTTGAAACGAGTTTTTGCTGCATATAGTCACAGACACTACGCATGCGCACATCTTCGATGTTGCCAGATTGCAAGTTATTTTGGAATTATTTTCAGTAGAAAACAAATATGTGCTTTTCAGTGTTTTTTTGTCAATATAATATACCGTATGAAAAACAGTTTTTACGTGCTCAACAGTGAAAATCGTATTGAAATTTCAATATAACTTTGAAAATGTATGTTAGGGAGTCAAAACTTAATTTTTTAACGTTTACGCATAGATAAATGAAACAAGTTTAGATTGGAAAGTGCCCATAAGGACAATGTAAACACTATTTGGCGCTATTCATGCAACGGTCGCGACCCAAAACTTTTGAAAATTTCGGAGCGGTTCGGCTTTTTCCGGAATTATATCGCCAAATATTGTTTATTCAAGTTTATTATTATTTTCGTTTAATTTTATAAATAAAAGACAGTGTGTTGCATACAAGAAACTTTATTTTATATAAGGACGCATGTATGAAATACCTATGAAACATTGGAAACCGACGTTATGCCACGATCCACGATGGTTTTTGCAGTTCACAGTTTACAGCACAGCTTTTTAAGTTTTTAATGCCACTTTTTTACAATTATCACCGGTTGGAGTAAATAAAACTTGAATTAAACTACAAAGTAGCAATAGTGAGGTTAAAAAACACACGATATCGTACAAAAGTTAAACAAAATTTAACTTTATACGACGTCGGATGATTAGTTAAAATTATCGGATAAAAATTGTTGTCAAAATATTTCGACCAATAGGAGCACCGTCGGATCGTCGTGTCATCGGATTTCGGATGCATGAGACTCCGGCTTAAGTACAGTAGATGTCTCTTTCAAGGCTGTGCAAGAACTGAAGTGTAAAAAACAGTTTTTTACGTGCTCAACAGTGAAAATCGTATTGAAATTTCAATATAACTTTGAAAATGTATGTGGGACTCAAAACTTTATTTTTTTAACGTTTACGTCAAGTTTACATGCTCGACATGGCGGGTGATATGTTTTGTGGTGATTGGTGATGTCATAATGTGCGCAATTGCTGTCCTCCTTTCACGCAGTTGAGCAGCTCTGAACTGTTCAAGAACGCGATACTCTCACTCCATTCAATTGAGTCATAAAGTTCCAGAACTGTTCCGCGCCATATGGCGGCACGAGGCTAACGCGCACCGCTCCTTTCAGAACCGTTCTCGAGTAGCCCCAGCGCGTAAAGCCCGGAACTCGAAGTTCGCGAAAAGGCAAATGCAGATACAAACATCCCTGGTACGTTTGATCAATATTATTCTGTGGTCCAGTAGTTCGTTTGTTCGAAATGTTTAAAATTCTTCTGTGGCCGGTCTAGAAGACAGTTGACACTGTTGACAGTTGACTTAAGCTAATTTTTTTAGAAGAACAAGATTTTTATTTTCAAATTTCTTCTATGATGACTATTGGGTGTTTATGAAATTAAAACATGTTTTTGTCAAAGTTGTACTCAATTAATAACTTCAAATATATGAACGATCTATATTACGTTATCAGACGAACAGCAGTATATCATTCGTCACAGAAAAATGTTTCAAGGAAGCATATTTCATCTGATCTTCTAGAAAATGCTTTTGATTCAATATCTGTAAATAAACCAACTGATTGGAATGATATTCATGATTTTGTACTAAACCATGAAGAAAATAAAGAAAACATCTGTAACAAAATAAATATCGATGGCCTAATTATGAAATGGTGTGTACAAAATAATAAGTATGTTAACTTACAATATAATTGGGAATTAAGTTATAAACAGTTATAGTTTCTAGAACCTCTTATGCAGAGAGTTACATAACATATTTGCGACAGAGTGACAAGGAAATAAATTTAGCAACATTTGGACTTTACTTAAGATCAATATGTCAAAGTAATCTAGTTAAGTTAGAGCCAGAGAAGGAGACGGAGATTATTCAAATGTGCACGGATTTGAAAAATGGTCATCCTGTATTGGATTCTATCACATTAGAAGATATAATATGTGCACTTTCCTTAACACATAAATGGGAAGATTGTATACCTTTGTTAGAAGTATTTTTTCTTCATTTCTTTTCAAGCTATAACAAGAATTGATAATCATTATTTTAGGAGGTAAAATTGACCAAAACAATATCAACAAGAGCATATAGTTTTGTTATATCTGCTGCTTTCCTAAATAACAATGAAAAGTTAGCATGGGCTTTAGCTAATGAATTATTGGAGTTAGACAGAGAACCATTAAGCATGGTGTATTTATCATACCTAAAATCTATCAAAAAATTAGAAAAGGGAGGAAATATTGTTGAAAAGTTAGAGATACTGTTTGATTTTTTCAAAAGAAATGGACTTATCTGCCGGGAAGATGTTGCTAAAGAGTTACTTCTCTATAGAAATACTTCTAATGTCCTTGTAAGCTTTGACAGGGTGTCTTCATTTCAAAAGAACAATGCAGTTACATACAGATCTGATGTACCTATTTTTGATATTTATATAAAGATAATATTTTAATATCAATGATTACTCTTCTGACTTCTTCAAAATGCTAATAACATCATCATTGTAAAGTCAAAACACCATATCTAAAAATATTATACATGTTTTCAGGAATTAGAAAAAAAAATCTATTAGAAAAAATTTAATACTTTTAATGATTTGTGTAATGGCCTAAGTCTATATGCTATAAGATGGCCTAAGTCTATATTTTGTAACAATTTTCAAAAGGAGTAAACGAATTAGCTAGTGGTGTAATAGCTGCTGAAGTAGTAATTAAAACTTAATATATTAAAATATGACTTGCAAGATTTTGCTATTTATTTTTTTTGAGATATGAGGTTTTGACTGTACAATGATGATTATGTTGAATTCAATTCATTACTAACTTTATTTATACTCTCCCCATCACTTTGCAAAAACCCTTTAAGGTGACTAATGTTAAAAAAATATAAAGTTTAAAATTAAATGACTTTTGTAATTGATAGACATCCTGTAGTCAGGATTTACTTTTTTGTATTGCAATATTTGTGTAGGTAAAATTTTCAGGTTTTTGTAATGTGTGCAAGACAAAGCTTACAAAGATGGAACTTACAGATGATGAATTTTCCGAATTAAAAGAAGTATTTTTAAAAAATGTCATTATTGGACAGGATATTTTTATTAAATCAGATCCCCTTGAAATGGGTCAATTCAAGGAATTTGTGACTAATTTAGGCAAATTTGATGTTATACTAGATGGACTAAATATTGCTTATTCTGTAGGAACTAACAAAGGAACACAAGTCTTTTCAAAACTGGTATGAATAGTTAGTTAAGGAGAACTAGTAACTCTTTTTTAGTTTATGTGATAGATTCAGAGGTTATTTATGTCATAATAATATTAATAAGTAATATTTTTTCAAAAGTATGTTACAATAACATAAAAGAAAAGAATAATAAAAAATCAGTAACTTAACCTAGTCTTATAATTACTTAGTACATTAATTTACTGATAGATTTGCCTTTATATTGATATGTTTATTTCAACAGAAGGAACTAATAGGCTTGGTGCATTTTAATTGATTTCATCAAATTCCGACCGCAGCGCTGTATACGGCAGAAATCAGAAATGTCCGCTATATATTTCACCGCAAATCTCTCCGCCCACTCATTTTATTGGCTACTTGCAAATTTGTCGAATTTTTATTGATTGGACGCGTCCTTTAATTTTTTACGAAAAACATTGAGAGAAAATCGTTTCCCCTCTCACGGATAGGCCGTAGCTACAGAACGGACAGACGCACTGTATGTTTTATTATTTGACCATCTTGCTATTCTCAACAGATCGAGTTGATTACTGAAACATTCCTATAAAATGGATATCTTTATTTTTTTTCTGCTTACTCTTTATATACTCCAAAAAAATCAAGGGTTTTTGAGTGTTAAATGTATTCCATTGTAAATTCTTATGAGAATTTTGTTTGTCTGTCAACATACCTAACACTCTTGATCAATATTAGTGGATTACTTCACAATTATGTACTTTATTAATTAAAATATTTGATGTTTTTGTATAGACCTATATATTTAAAATCATATTCATAAAGTTTAGTATTTTTCTTAAACCATAAAAAATATTAATTTATGAAGAAATTGGAAGACTTTTAATATTCTGAAAAATTATCATAGAAAAAAGTCGGAAACATCTTTCTATAGCTTTTATAATCCTTGTAATGATATATTTTGGAAAGAAATATGGATAAAACTGTTTAAAAAAATTACAAATGGTTAACGCAAAAATTAAATCAATAAAATAATGGATATAATATTTTTTCTAATAAGGCGTGTATCCGTTTTAGGTAGCATCTGTAATTTCATATTTTGTTCAGCAGAAAAAATCTGTTTTAATGTTAGGAAGAACACACATGAACAAATGGCCAAAAAGTAATTGGAATTACATAAAAAACAATTGTACTATATTTCTTGCCAAGGACATTTCACAGGTAAGTATATTTAAAATTTCAATATTTTCTTGTAATTATCTATAGAGTCCGGCAATAGTGCGTCGGGCATCTGTAGCTCCTAGAATAAAAAACTTGAGAATTTTGTTTATGTGCAAACCTAAAGTATGTATCAAGATGTATTTCAGGAAAATATTTTAACTTCTATAGGGTGGTTCAAAAAAGCGAAAGGGGATCTGGATGATTTTTTTAAAATGGAACACCCTGTATATTATTGCATTTTTGGCTTTCTTTCAGATCATTTTACATAATCCTAATGGTGCGTTTAGACTTGAGCACGCACGCACTGATCCTTCGCGAATGCTCAAGTGTAAACGGCTGTGCGCCCACGCTCACTCTGAATCTGTCTGTGCGCGAGCAGTCGCGAGCGTGAGCCGTCTGGTGTCGGTTTTTGGTCCGTGCTCAAAGGGATTTTATGTGTGCGCGAACGCTCAGTTTGCACCGGCAATTTGTTTTGTCTTCGTTCGGGCGTACGTGTGTGATTTTTTTCATTTTCTTTATTAAAATTATGGACTGGATCAATGAATCTTCGTTATTATTAATTCAATTAATTGAAGAATATGAAAAGTTGCCTATATTATGGGATGTTAAACATTCTTCTTATTATTAAAAAACAAAAAAATAACGCAGGGCAAGACCTTTTAAATAAAATTAATATTGAGTATGTCGATATTAATGAAATTAGTACTCTAAAATTTGTATCTTTTGTTCGTAATTTTTGATGTTATTAAATTTTGTAAATATTCAAAGTCAGGCCTGGTCATTCTTGTAAAGTTTTTGAACTGATCATAGGCCTCCTCAGACACTAAGTTGTTGCAGTAAATTATATCGATTTCTAAAAATTGGGGTTTGCCACCAGTGACGTCGACGATGTTTTCGATTTTTCTTCTTTTTAATAATTAAGCTGTGCATAACAATGACTGCAGCCCCGACTATTTCTTGGTTGTCCGTTATTTTCGCCAACACAACTCTGCTGTGCGCATACAAGTGGATCACTTCATTCGTTGAACGGAGCCGAGAGCGCGAACGAATGCCGTGCGTGCTCAAGTATAAACGCACCATTAGATATGAGTAAATATATTTCGATAGTTTCAGAGATATTAAAAAAATTAATCAAAAATATATATTTTTCAGCCCTTCTTAAAAAAATGATTAAAAATACAAGAACTGTTCTGAAATCAAAACTATATTAGGTATTTTCTTTAAATGGTCTGTTCTTACTTGGCTATAAATATGGTAATCGTAAATCATACAGGATGTTCAATATTCTACGCCAAACTTTCTAAAATATAAAATATTTTTTCGTTGGAAGTGGAACACCCTTTTCTTTTCTTTTAAATGGAACACCCTGTATATTATTTTTTATTAGATGGAGAGTTAAAAAATGAAATTTTTTTGTATTTAAAGTATTTCAAAATTTTTAATAGTTTTGCAGATACACGCAGTATTATTTCATATGGATCTTTCAATGGTAAGGTTAGGTTATTAAAAAATACGGTAGAAAAATTATTGGGTGGCTTTGATAAAAATTTACTGTGGAAAATGCCATATGAAATATAAAACCGCGAATATCTGCAAAACCGTAAAAAAATCAAATACTCTAAATACAAAAAATGTTCATTTTTTAATTCTCCATCTATTGAAAAAATAATATACGGGGTGTTTCATTTAAAAAAAAAAGAAGAAAAATTATTTTATATTTTAGAAAGTTTGGCGTACAATTTTGAACATCCTGTATGATTTTTCGATTTCCATATAGCAAAGTAAGTACAGACCATCTAAAGTAAATATCTAATATAGTTTTGATTTCAGGACAGTTCTTGTAAAGAAAGGTTGAAAAAAATATAATTTTTATTTATTTATTAATATCTCTGAAACTATCTAAATATGTTTACTCATATCTTAGAATTATGTAAAGCGATCTGAAAGAAAGCCAAAAATGCAATAATATACAGGGTGTTTCATTTAAAAAAATCATCCCGATCCACTCACACTTTTTTGAGCCACCCTATAGAAGTTACAATATTTTCCTAAAATACATCCTCGTACATACTTTGGATTTACACTTAAACAAAATTCTCAAGTTTTTTATTCTAGGAGCTAGAAATGCCCGACGCAATATTGCCGGACCCTTTATAGATCAGAGTTACTTTATCATCGTCCTATTTTACAGGATGATCCTTATCTTCTGTATTGTGCATTACATTCAGGACCGAAGACTATAATCGTAACAAGAGATCAAATGAGAGGTCATAGACATCTTTTAAAAGATAGGAAATATAAAATGTTATTTACCAAGTGGCTGGGACAGAGACAGTATGAATTATTAACGTTTAATAAAAATGATAAACCGATATTTAGGTAAGTCAGTGTTGAAGTAATCATTTCATAACATTTATTTTTACCTGTATACCTTATTTTTAGGATACCTCCGCATTTTAGCACCATAGCCCAAAATAGTGAAAATATCTGGCATATTCCATATAAATCTCAAGATAAAAATAATAGCATTAATGATAATTATCATAAGAACTGGGTATGTTTAAAATTAGAGAAATAAATTGTTTTAGTATTTTTAGATTTTCTTTGAGTTTTATTAGTTAATTATTGTGTACAACTTATTATTTACAATTACTGTGTACAATTCTGTATAACTAAGAAATTGCAGTGGGTAAACAGAATCTACACAAAAGGCATCTGTTTATAGTTTCTATGAGAACATTGGTAGATTATAATGTGTAAAAATACAAATTAACAAAAAACTACTAGAAAAAAGTGGATCGTCTGGACCACAGGAAAAAAACTGGATTACACCATAGGTCTGGACAATGAGGAATCTATACTAATCGATTTTTAAATTAATATTTGAAATTTTTTATATTAAATATACGGGTGTTTCAAAAAAACATGTGCCATCTCTCGTGGGGAGATTCCTCATGTAAGAATAAGATTTATTTTTCGTAGCTACAGGGTGTCGCAGTCTTAATATTTTTTCGATTCATTATAATTTTCTTCCAAGTACCTACTTTTAGCGATTCTAATGAACTTTTGAGGATAAAAGTTAGTATAAATGCGACATATTTTAACGCTAAAAAACTGTCAACATATTCACCAGGGACGTGCGTATGGGTTACTCTGGAATATTTTTCTAAAAAAAAACATGGACGCCACTGACTTTTTTTCTCTTGTTAGCGAAATAATGTAAGCCGTTTAATGTCGATAAAAAGTTGTCTCTTGATATTTTGTCCATTTCGGCTTCCTTGATGAGATAAACGCAATTTTATTAATTTGCCTTGATCCAAGTCTAATAGCAACCTTTAAAAAAATTTAATATCATTAACGCGAAAGTTTTAAATAAGTACTCATTGATTCCTCATCAAAAAAATATTAAACAAAGTTCCTATAAACATGGGTATGGAAATGCATAGTTTTAAAGTTACAGGATGTTAAAAACTTTTTAAAATTAGGTTTTTTCTAATTATCTTAAATACCATTATTTTTTATTTGAAATTGCTGTATGTTGGACTAATAGTATTAATAACTAACAGTAATGATATTTAATAACAAATTAGGTAAAATGTATAATTTATTAATTTTATTTTAATTTTATTAATTGTTATTAATAAAATTGCGTTTATCCCATCAAGGAGGCCGAATTGAGCTAAGTATCAAGAGATAACTTTTAATTGGCATTAAACGGCCTACAAAATTTTTATATCAAAAGAAAAAAGTCAGTGGCGCACATGTGTTTTTTTTTGAAAAATATTCTAGTGATATCCCATATGCACGTCCCTGATGTATTTATTGACACTTTTTTAGCATTAAAATATGTAACACTTATAGTAACTTCTACCCTCAAAATTCCAGTCAAATCACTAAAAGTACTTGAAAGAAAATTATAAATCGAAAGATTATTAAAACTTTAACACCCTGTAGCTACGAAACAAAGCAGAATCGGACCTATGTTGATATGAAAAATAAGTCTTATTTTTACGCGAGGAATCTCCCCACGAGAGATGGCACATGTTTTTTGAAACACCCTGTATATAATTATATTACAATTATTATTCAAAATAAAAATTAAGAACATCAATCGCTAAATTCTTAGAGATAGAGAAAACGAATATTTGCATTCACTAGAAATATGACTTAGTTAATTTGTTTAAGCCAACATAGTCTTGCAATTATATAAATTCTAAATTAATCATCACTAACAAAATAGGTGTAGTAGCGAAAAAAATAACATGAAATTTGCCCACAAAACAATGCTTACACCTGTGTGGAACTCCTCTATATATAGCAAAAAAACTAAAGTCCAGCTCTTCAATAGCAATGTCAAATCTATTTTGCTTTATGGATGCGAAACATGGAAGGTTACGCGTGGTCTCATGGATCGCCTACAGGTGTTTGTTAACAAGTGTCTTCGAAGAATATTGAGAATTTTCTGGTCCAATCAAATTAACAACGAAGAACTGTGGAGAAGAACATCACAAAATCGAATAGATATCGAAATTAAGAAAAGAAAATGGGGCTGGATTGGGCACATTTTGCTCAGACCCCACAGAGATATCGCTAGACAGGCACTTGAATGGAATCCACAGGGAAGACGTGCCAGGGGAAGACCAAGGAATACCGGTAGAAGAACAGTAACCTCTGAAGCCCAAGAGGTCGGGAAAACATGGGGAGAGATCAAACAGACAGCTCAGAATAGGATCAGATGGAAACATCTCTTAGAAGCCCTATGTCCCACGAAGGGATGACGGGAACATATATATAATTGCACGATATGATATTCTATAGTAATTAAAAAACTTTATTCTTAAGTGCACCGTTTATTAGATTTACTTAGTAATCGAAATAGTAGATTATTCTTTTTTATAATCAAAATTGTTGAATATGTGCTTAAAGAGAGACTAAATAAAATAAACTGACTTGGTTTTACATGAGATCTCACAAATTTTTATAGCGGAGGAATTGTGTTGCTAGACTTGGCATTTTTTACATTCTATATTTTTGATGGGATCTTATTTTTTTTTGTAGGTTATCCTTCTATTTTTTTTTCGTAATTACTATCATTATAATATATCATTGAATCATCATAATATCAATTGAATTAATTTTAGTTTTCTAACGACTTGTGTTTCCGACTTTCGTTATAACTCAAATATCAACTTTAAAAATGTTCAATTCATAATTTTACCAATACTTATTCAAAATTATTTTTTTGTCAATTTTACAGATATTTTATTTTTTATCTCGATAACTATAAGAGATAAATCCTTGAATTGTTGTTTAAGATATGTATTTAATATTTTACAATCAGAATATTAAATAAAATAAAAAAAATTATGATGCCCCGATGCAGCCTCGAACTCGGGCCTCCCGAGTCCCGAGTTCTGCTTTCCGAACTAGCCAAATATTTTGGCGATACTTTGGCGCCGCGCTCTCAGACCTTGGTCGAAATATGTTCAAGCCTAGCATTTAACATATTAAACAAAAAAATATAAATAGGGACTTCATTACAAGTTAAAGTCTGACGAGAAAAAATGCATAATCCTTGAATTATTGTTGGTACATTGATATATAAAAATAAAATCAGAAGAGACCGCTCTGATTAATTTTAGTTTTCTATCTAGCTAGACAGCTAACTTTTCATCCATAAGGATATTTCGAGATTTTTCATTTTTTCCTTTGGTTATAAGCTTAAAACTACCTAAAATTCTAAATTTGGAGTTTGTGACACATCTAGGAGTACTGTAGAATTTTGATGATCTATCAGTAAGTCAATGTCGAAATTAAAGACATTTGACAAGCGATAATTCATAAACTATGAGAGATAATTACTAGATATTTTGGTAACCTAGCCAGCTATAGTATGTCTTCAAGTGTAGTGAAAACTAATATTCTATGCTTTATCCACAACGAAGTTACAGGGCTAATACCCCCGAGAAAAAGATGGTATGGCTGTGCCAGAGTGTGATGGCCGTGCCCCCAGATATTATAATAAATTATTGTATCTAATAATAGAGTAAATTTAAAATAAAACAACACCGATTATTATCAATAAAATATTCTTTATTTTTACAGAAACATACAAATAGGTACATTTGCTAATAACTTGTTAATAAAAAAGGCATTCTTTTGTTTAATTAAGTGTTAAAATATCTGGACGGAGAGGGTAGTCTCTACTGGTGGCTTGTTTTTGTTACAGAATGAAAGTAAGTTATTTTTGTTAAAAAAATTAAAAATTGACTATAACATTTAAAATTAAAATATTCCTAGATGTTCATAAATATCTAATACTAAATCAAATTCTACATTAATGTTTGTTAGGTAAATTTAAATAGTAACTTACCGGAATAGACTTCCATTAAAAATAAGTACATAGAAAATCTTGTTATATGTTTAATAAAAAATCACAGTTTAGTACTAAATTTAAATAAAAATGTTTACTAAACATTTTGAAATTAAAAAATCTCATATAGGTTTGCAATTCCATCATTTAGTCAGTTAACATAAAACTTTAAAATTAATCAAATATATGTTATAATAAGTATATAGAAGTTTAATTTGATATTCGATGTTAACTTTTTGACAAACATATCTTGCATTACCCGTTTCAAGCTATTAGCGTGGATTGACAGAATTGGGAAGATACGCAACTTAATGGGCGAATTCGTGACGAGGCTGATTTGATTTCCCCTTATGTCTCATGTGCTTTATGGTGGAGACACCAATTGCTCTGCGGTCAACGCATAAAACACTTATTTGCTTTAATTCGGCCAGCGAAGGCATATCGAAGACGGTGTGGATCTGAAAGCGACAGTGTTGTCATATTAAAATGTGTAATATCTGTAATAGGTTTGACGAAAATATCTTTGGATGAAAAATCCGCGTTTATGTATTGAAAATTATTCGTGTTAAACATAGAATAAACAACAAAAACAAAAATTCTTTTATAGGTACTGAATATGTCATATGATCGAAAAAGTCGTTTAGTTGGCTTGGAAATAACGATTATTGACATTTACCACAATATTTTACATATGAAATAACAGCGATGTTCATTTCCGAGCCAACCTTGACGGTGTTCTTTGTTTAATCATATAATATATTAAATTGTTTAATGATAGAAAATCCGTATTATTAACGTACTGTACCCAAAATCCGTAAATCTACAGATTAATCAGTAGTTCTGGCAACCACTTACTCTGTCGACTGAAAGCAGAACTGCGGTACAGTATTATTTATCCGCTGCGCTGTAAACGCCTATAAGCGCGCAGCGGCGCAGAGCTAAACTAAATTTTGGAATTCCCGGACAGGCTGACAGTAACGCCAGCTACATCTCGGATAGATTTTGTGCCACGAAATGGCCCATAAGGTTGCGCATCTTCTTAATTTCTTCAATCAACGCTATTGGCTTTTTTGAAAATTGCAAAACTATTTGTTTACTATCGAAATATGTTAATCCATTTTAGCCATTTAGATAATCTACCTACAATGAGTTTTTCAATTCACTGGTTTTTGGCTACTTTTTAAAACGTTGGTAACATATTGCTATTGTAATTCTACAGTAATTTAGCATGCTATCGTTGTAAAAAGAAATTTAACAGTCTTCTTCTCGGCGGTGCTACGGGTGTCTGTTCTTTCGTTCTTGCCTTTGTTTCGTGTCTTGATAGTTTATTTTTAAGCTGTTCTTCTAAAAGTTCATGCATATCCATCTGAAAATATTTAAAAGATAAGTTAAATAATAATTTTATTTATATAATTAACTATTTTCAGTAATAATAATTAAGTAATTTTCAGTAACAGGAAATACTTTAATTATTTTTGCTGCTAATAATATAGGAGTAGTAGGTACCGAGTGGTAGGACTATCCCAAGGGGTGTCTCACTTGGGTAAAAAGTGTACATGTACCGCCAAAATATCATTTTACTGCCAAGCGACTGCCAATGACTGCGAAGAAAACTGCCTATGACTATGTAATTATTATAGGCGACTGCCGTAAGACTCCCAATGTCTTTTACAAAATGTACATGTAATTCTAATAGTGAGATATCCCCCGCTATATCCAATACAGTTGAACATATAAAAACATTCTCCAAAAACTATGGGTCAAGTGGTGAAATGAGACATTTTTCATTTTTTTTTAGTTTTTTTTTCTTAATGACAAGCATTTAAATACAAAAGTATTTCTTATATAAAAGGCATTTGGTGATACGGGAAGCATTGCTAAAGTAAAACTATTAAAAAAAACGAGTACCCGTAAAAAAGTCAGTACGTACGTCAATAACAGTTATTTGTGGTTAAACATAAGACACAAAATGCACATTTAAAGGTTCTGCTATCGTTTATATTAAATGCTGGAGTAAATATGCCACTAGAAGGATAGAAATTAGACATATTTTCTTTATCGTAAGAACTTTAAAATTCTAAACTAATAAAAAATATATGCATATAATTCAAATGAAAATACAATAATGATGATGAGGTGGAACCCTTGGTGATACAATAGCAAAATATAACACTAATTCATAATTGCTAACAGCATCATCAGCAGATGATTAAAATTGTTAAAAACTGACGAAAACAGTAAAAAATATACACATGGCCAAAATTATTGCATTTCAGAATCTTATTTTATAAAATAATAAAAATAATAAATATAAAAATTGTTTTCAATATTTTCTGTTTACAATGAAATTTGTTTTTGTTGATTTTTACTCATTATGAAATAAAATTATAACAGCCTAGTTGCACTTTGGTTTTTAATTTTATATTAGTCGTGTAGTAAGCCAATACGTACAAAAATATAAAAAGAATCATATTAGGTCCAAAAAAAAATATCGTTATATGCAATCATTTTGGCCATGTGTGTAGTTTTAATCATCTGCTGATGATGCTAACATGGTTAGCGAAACGCGCGTCCAGTGCAAAAGTGAAGTGTTTTGGTGTATTGTGGTGAATTAGTGTTTTATTTTGCTGTTTTAACACCAAAGGTTCCAACCCCCAACTTTACCTAATAGTGGTAATGTCAGTTTTTTCGTTTTCCATGATTCATCCTAAATCATTTAAGTTTATTTAATCTTTGTGTGCATTAAATAAACTATGAAGATGATCTCTTAACATTTATTTTTAAATGTTCATAACAACAAAACTGACTGAATACAACTTTTCGGTGGGTTTATTTGAATTTGAACGTCTCATTTTTTACCTACAGGCGTATCTCATTTTTACACCACTTGATCCTTTCTCTGACATTTTTAGAGCGTTATTCTTCCTCTTAAATCATTGTTTTAATGTTTACCTGCCACTGTTCTAGTTGTTGACTCATTTCAACCTTTTGCTGGATTACTTCCAGCAGCTGACTGTTGGCTTGCATTAAATCTACTCTCGTCTTGGCCAATTCCACTTCTGCTTTTGTCCGCCTCTGTACAGCCAAGTCTCTGTCTTCTCTAGCTTGAGCCACTACGTCATCGTGAGCTAGTGATGTATCGTTTGCGTCATTTCTAGCTCTATCTCGTTCTTCTAGAGCCGCTTGTAATTCAACTTCGCAAACAGAACTCTACAAAAATGATATCATATGTATTTCATAATAATAATTATGGTTTGTCTAACGAGAGAATGTATGAAAGTGGCAGTTATTGCCTGTCATACATTCTCTCGCTGGACAATCTAAACAAAATTTTGCAATGATGCATAATTGTTTGTTCATATATATACACGGTGAGTCTTAAATAAGTGAAAATATTTTCAGGGCTGGTAGACCTAGAAAAAAGAAACATATTTTCTTTTTACCGTTTTGTAAATAAGTCCAAAATAACAGAGTTATATTTCTTTGAAAATTTAAAAAATATATTTTTTGCTTAAATTTTGAGACCTACTGGATCTTTCCTGTGTTTTCTATCTTATAAATTTAATCTACTATCTATGTTATCATATTAATCAAAATATATTTTTAACTAAATATTTTTAAAAAATAATTTTTTTTTTAAATTTCAATTTTATTTCGCTAAAAAATCCTTATAGACGTGTTTCTGGAGTCGAAATATACCACCCCTAAAAATATTTGCTCTTAAAGACTCACCCTGTATATGCTACTTTACTACACATACCTTCGTACTCAGTTCTACTATCCTTTCCATTCTTTTTTGTAATTCTTCATCTCTTTCTTGAATTTCCCTTCTAGCTTGTTCCAATCGTTCTAGGAGTCTTACGACGTCTGTATCCAATACCAACCCCACAAGTTCCTGTGCTACCTACAAAGACGAGATTTTAGAATTAGCCATAATTGTAACAGCATGTTAAATCTTTAACAAAATTAACAAATCGGATTATTTTTGTTCCCTTATTTATTAACAGAACTAATTTATTTTTGATTTAACGTTGTCCTCAGGATATTTTTTATACAGTGTGCCAAAAAAATAGTGTATAGGTGGGTGATTCAACAGATAAAAATAAAACAAAAAGTTCCCATGAACAGATTTAGATGTGTACGAAGTATAGTGCCGTCGCGTCCTCGAGACAAGTTCATATGCTAGACGTCCACGAACCTTCGTATCAGAACTTTGGATCGAGACAATAATCGACTTATTGAAAGTTTATCGCTAGGAAACCGCCGTTTACCAGCTTCTCAAATTTATAATGAATTGTACCAAGGAACGTACATGTAAGTGAACGGACTGTAAGAAGGTTAAACAAACAAAGGCTAGGACAAAAAGCAAAAGCATGGTATTAATGTAAAAATTATGAAAAAATGTTAGTGTCTTTTTCAAAAGCGAATATCTTCAACAAAAATAAAGCTATTGAGATGAACCAAAAAACAAACTATCGAAAAAGGATGTAACCAGACGATAAAATTATTGTTAAATTCATTGCTGTCTTCACGTATCCCACAGGGTGTTCCAAACTTTCACCAAAATAAAATGACCAAAATTATAAGAGATACTAAAAAGTCAAATAATTTAGCTACATATTACTTAAAAAATTATCAAAACCGTCCCACTAAAACAAAATATATTAAACTTTAAAATACATCAAAATTTTAAGGCTTTATTTTTCTCGTTTGTTTTTACGAACGTTCATGTCTCACTTGATAATTAATTGCTAATTTTTATTTATGGCGTTAAGCTTCATTCAGAACCTCGCAATTAGTGGAATAAATTAGTGGTTTCAATTACACCTTAAACATTTTAGTTTACGATCATTCACAATGTCTAAAAAACAGAAAGAAAATCAAGAGAATTTCCTAGCACCAGCTTGCGGTAGTCAGTTGAATCATTAGTTGAATCCAGAGAGAAAAGCTTTATTCAGAAACTCGCAATTAGTGGTTTCAATTACACTTTATACTTTTTAGTTTACGATCATTCACAATGTTTAAAAAACATAATTCAAATTAATAGAATGTCCTAGAAACAGCTTGCGTTAGTCAGTTGTATCCATAGAGAAAGCCTATATAATATTTAGTAGTGATGGGAAAAACCGATTAATTTCAATAATCGAGTACCCGAGTTAGTTTCAAGAGATTGCAATAACCGAGTGATCGCTCGAGCGAAATATCACTCGTATACGGTTTTTCGTCCGTTAAGTACTCGTTAACGCCAAGCAGTAAATTGCATGCGCAGGGCACATATTCTTTCGGTAATGAATGGCAAGTAGCAAGCGGACGAGCGGTTCGCTTGATTTAGTTCATTTCAAAGCATTGTCGATGTAGGTCGTAAAATTTTATCCCTCAGATACGCAACGGATAAATATATACCGTGCTGGCAACGGTTACTTTTGGATCGGCATTTACATGTGTGGAAGTAAATCGCATAGGCATCTTATTAAGTAGGAGTGAGAGAAATGCGACCGACCGTCGCGACGCGCGACGGTGTGCTGTTGCGGCGTTGCCGATACGCCTTAACCTATCAAGTAAAGTAAAATCGCGATCGCAAACCGCTTATTTTTAAGAGACTTTTTTTTCAAGAGATAACTAGATAAAATCATTAGACATGTTTCTGAGCATCTGAAATGGAATTATAAGGATATCGTTAGGGTATCATTTTTTTATAACGAGAAAACGTCAGTAATCGCGATAATTTAAAAACTCAACTTTTTAACACATAACAGGCCAGAACTCAAGAACCACTTTAGATACTGAAACTTTTTTTATTTTCAAGATCGGATATTTTACATTATGTTTACATAAGAAAAATTCGATAAGGTTGTTTTTTCTATTCAAAAATTGTAAACAATCCATCCGTTTACTTTTAGAGCATAGCAATTTTCAGCAATCGTGTAATTTTTTTATTGATAGATTTTCACATACTGTCTACAAAGAAAATACAGCAGAAATATTAACAAAGTTCTTAACAAAAAACTACAATCTATTATTTCTAATAGATTTCGAGATATCGATTTTTGAGTTCTAACTGCGCGACCACTATCGAACACCCACTCAATTTCACTTATTTTTACCAAAAATGCAAGTGTTACTAGCTTGCACTTAAAAAAATTGAAGCTATAGGGAAAATTACAACGATTCGTTAATAAATGAACAAATTAAGTTTTACGAGACGTAATTAAATCGTGAAGCTGAACGCATGACGTACACCTTTCCCTAGAACTTTAAGTACTGACAGTGGTATTGATTGGGTCGACCGGTCAACTGCGACAAATCTGCTTATCCCCTTCCACGTCTCTTAGCGATGTGCACAGTTTCTCGGTTTATTTCATATGTTTGGCAACGTGTTTACTGTCCTCTCTTTGTTCAGTACATTATAAACGCATTGTACTCTTCTTAGATACGGAAATCTCGACCCAAAACTAACCTTTGCCAGCCCTTAGTATACGGCGTCGTATACATTCGCCACCTGCAATGTATGTAGAAAATTCACTCGGCTTTTTATCGAGAATGTCACATTAAAATCGGATTTCAATTTATTTCATTCTAGGATCGCTTGCGTTCGTCGCTCGTAACTCGTCACTTGCATCGCTCGTTCATAATCGAACGATATTGGTTATTACAGTTGAGGGTTGGAACCTTTGGTATTACACAGCAAAATAAAATTACACTAAATCACCACAATACACCAGAACACTTTTACTTTTACACTGGACGCGCGTTTCGCTAACCATGTTAGCATCATCAGCAGATGATTATAAACTGACAGTTTATAATCATCTGCTGATGAACGCGCGTCCAGTGTAAAAGTAAAAGTGTTTTGGTGTATTGTGGTGATTTAGTGTAATTTTATTTTGATATTGGTTATTTCAATAATCGAGTACTCGAGCGAATTTTCGCTCGAATCTTTTGTTGTGAATGCTTACATTAAAATTAAAGGAACAAGCTTCTACGCTAATTGAACCACTAATTTATGCCACTAATTTTGAGGTCCTGAGTGAAGCTTTATTAAAATACAAATACATGATTTAACAAAGTGGCAAATTTGTCTTATTTTGGAAATTTTACGACCTACACTTTAGGACTACTGCTCTAGCTTATGCTTTACGAAGTTATATTACCAAGTAACTTACGAATTTACTTTACCTCACTTAATAATCCAGGTGAAAATCTACTAGTATCTTCTAGAGATGTCGTAGAACAATCAGAGTGAAGCCCACTGTCATCGTCTTGGTGTGACTTGAGCTGCTGTACCAGCGATCTCAGCTGCCTGTATACTGACATACATTCCTGGCTCAGCGTCGGTTCCGAGATGTCCATTTCTGCTAGAAGCGATCGGTGGTCACCTTAAGGTAAACGGTTCGAGGGTTAGTTACCGGTGACGTTAGTAACAGTATCGAGCAATATGAATTATGATCTTTATTAACGATTATTTGCCTTATTCAAACGAATGTTATGGATGAAAAGTGAAAGGTATTCCAATATTATTTACAGGATATTTGTGTTCTGGTATTCGGTTACATGAGGTGTGATGATGATTTTGATTGTTAATTTGATACCACATTCTCACTCTGGTGTTTAGTCTTTTGGACATTTTTATATCAGTCGTTAATTCGTTATTTCGAATTTTAGTTGCTCTGATGCATCAGGTATTTTTACCTTGTTTGATTACAATATAATATAGAAAGGGTATAGCCGGATAAATATGGGAAATCTGCCCCCGCGGTTTTTTTGGCTCGCACTCAGCGGATCGATTTGGTGTCGAATCAAAATAATTCATCTAAATTTTTAGCTCTTAACTCAAACGGTTTTCGAGTTTTTAAAAAAACTGTTACTTCAATTTTATTTTTATTTTTATAGTACCATTCAAAAATAATTAATAATGATTTTTTTTCTAATTCTTAAAAATCTAAGACATGAAAAAATAATATGATCATGATTCTTAAGCGAAAAGCCGATTTTTAGCGGAAGAAAGAAAATTAAGGTGGTTTTAAAGTGGTGGAACAATATGAAAAAAATTAAAAACTCATTTTTTTTTAAAATCTTCTCGGACTGATTTTTTCATAATAATCTTTATGTTTATTTCTGACAAGGATGTATTTTTAATGAAAAAATATTTTCCACTCACTTTTTTTAACTAAACAAAAATATAAGTTTGTTTAAACAGAAGATTTAAAAAAATGAGTTTTTAATTTTTTTCATTTTGTTCCACCGCTTCAAAAAATTCTTAAAAATTCCTGAGTGTAAAGAAGTATAAAAGACATTTTCTGACGATTTTTAGTGAGTGACATATTTCACAAAGGTTAAAAAAATGAAGATTTTAATTTTCTTTCCTCCGCTAAAAATCGGCGTTTCGTTTAAGAATCATGATATTATTTTGTTTTGGTTTGGTTTGATTTTTTCTAGTCTAAGACATGAATTAGACTAGAAAAAAAATCATCATTAATTAATTTTGAATTTTACTATTAAAATAAAAATAAAATTGAAAAAAACAGGTTTTTTTGTAAAATCTCGAAAACCGTTTGAGTTAAAGAGCTAAAAATTTAGGTGAATTATTTTGATTCCACCAAATCGACCCCTGAGTGCGAGGTAAAAAAGCTGCGGGGGCAGATCTCCCATATTAGTCCGGCTATACCCTTTGTGATTTTTGATAGAAATGCTTTTCAGTGTGAATTGGGTTTTATCTTAGAGTGATATGGTTTTATACACCAGCTCCTTTCAAAAATATATTTAGCTGAACTCAGTAGTACATTAATAAAAGTAATTAACCATGTTTTTCTGTTACTGTTTATACTATATATCTACTTATTCATTTATTAAAAATACCCAATTTTATATAATATTTAACACAACATTCATTGTCGTGAATGTAGATATACTTATAGAGGGTGAGTCTTAAATAAGTGCAAATATTTTTAGAGGTTGTTTTTTCACCGCATAAAATTTAACAATTTAAATAAAGTAATGCTACTTTTCTTATATTTTCTATAACGTTACACGCATTGTATTTTTTCATAGTCTTTTCATAGAACTTATTTAATATTATTTACATACATAGTTTTACTCAACAAATAACCACTATAATAATTATTAAAGTTGTACAATGCTATTTACCATCAGAATTCATCATGAATAAATATAGTCATTAGTTTTAAGTAATATACAACTGTGTTTTCTTTCTCTGTACATGCCTGGCGCCCAATATCTATTTTTTTGTTTATTGTTCTTAATTAGTTTTCTTTCCAGTGAAATAACTTATCCACGACTGCTCTCCGATGAAAAGCTGCCGTTCGCAGTGGTAGTTGTTTAAAAAACGCTAATTATCTATTATCTATTAGACTTTTATCTTCCTAGGTAAAACCAATGTATGATTTTTCACCGACGCGACAGTAGAAGTGGTAAGCTCATCATAATTATATATCATACAAAGTCCCCAGACTAAAATACTAAGTCCCAGACTAAAATACTAATTTACAGAGTCCCCAGACTAAAATACTAATTAACACACAACCAAACTTTTTACTTCTAACTAAATTTCTTGCAAGGATAACAATTAGTATACAACTTTAAGATAAGGCTTTTTGTTGTAAATAAACCTGATAATAAAGAATAAACGACCGCCGCGATTTATTTTCTTTTGAATTTTGTGTTCAGTAGTAAAATCACGATTGTCCGGTAATTTTCATTCGATCCAAAAAAATTTAAAATTATTAACAGATATACAGAGGGGAATAATTATAGCTCTCACCGAACAAGGAATGCTCCAAAGTTTTTTTTCGCGAACATTATTTTAAATTTGAAATTTTTTGAAAAAAATTTTGAAAATTATTTTAGTTTTTAGTTAAAAATCATAATTTCTTTATAATATGGCAACATAAGTAATAGATTAAATTTACAAGAAAGAAAACCCAGAAAAGGTGGTTGTCAAAATTTAAGCAAAAATCATTTTTTTTTGGGAATTTTCAAAGTAAAATAATTGGGTTATTTTGGACTTATTTGAAAAACGATATAGAGAAAATATGTTTCTTTTATTGAGATCTACCAGCCCTGAAAATATTTGCATTTATTTAAGACTCACCCTCTATATAAATACCAGGAAACATTATTAAAACTATGAATAAGAGATTGAACACATAGATAAATGAAACAAGTTTAGATTGGAAAGTGCCCATAAGGACAATGTAAACACTATTTGGCGCTATTCTTGCAACGGTCGCGACCCAAAACTTTTGAAAATTTCGGAGCGGTTCGGCTTTTCCGGAATTATATCGCCAAATATTGTTTATTCAAATTTATTATTATTTTTGCTTCAAATAAAATACAGTGTGTTGCATACAAGAAACTTTATTTTATATAAGGACGCATGTATGAAATACCTTTGGAAACATTGGAAACCGACGTTATGCCACGATCCACGATGGTTTTTGCAGTTCAGAACACAGCAGAGTTTTTAATCCACGAATGCTACGTTTAGCAATTATCACCGGTTGAGAAATAAACTTGAATTAAACTCACAAGATACCCTCACACTGGAAATGGACGCTATAAACACTTTTCGGAATTTCTTCAAAATAATTTTTTTGGGGAATTTTCAAAGTAAAATAATTGGGTTATTTTGGACTTATTTGAAAAACGATATAGAGAAAATATGTTTCTTTTATTGAGATCTACTAGCCCTGAAAATATTTGCAGCGCCAGATCGCGTATAACGGTCGCGACCCATATAATTTCGCGACCTAAAATTTTTACGGGCTTTCCAATCATGATTGAACATTTATTATTCAATATTATTTTTGTGAAAAAAAGTACGTTACATATTTTAGTTCATACAATAATTTGCCTTACAGGATACTATAATCAGTGAATTCGATTCTATTTTGTATTTAATTGGAAGATTTAAATAAGACATATTTAAATAATATCTGTGGCAAAATCGATGGAAAAATATGAGATATAGTAGAAATGTTTTTTTAGTATATATGTAAATTCCAGCACCAATGAGCTAAATATACAATTTTATTTTATTAGTATAATCATTTTTGACATATATTTATGTAGAATATCATAATATGAAACTATAAAAATATGATCCATGCAGTAGTGGAAGTTAGTAAAATAAAAATATGAAGTCGAAAAAAAGTGTAGTATGTTTTGTTTTAACATGAATGATGGTCATAGAGTACCCTTTAAAATTTTACGTTAGTAATACTTACCATTCAGTCGTTCTTCTATAGAAAGCTTTTCTTGAGGTAAACTATATTCTTTGATGCTTTGTTGGTACCTATTAAAAAATAATCTAGTAAAAAATCTGTAATATTCATGGTAAGTTAAAAAGCAAAAATTTATATTTAAAAAATTCTATAGATATAGTACAGTGTCCAACCAAACCTTTTCGATAAATTATAAGGTAACTAAAATATGAAGGGTCGAAAATGTACAACATTTTCAAATTCGAAATATATTTCAGAAACGGGGGGTTAGGACAGACCTATTTGTATCTTTTTTAGTTTCATAAAGAAGTAGCACAATGATGAGAAAACCGCACCTTGGTAGCTCTACTCGTAAACGAGAAACGCCAAAAAACACACTAAAATGGGACACCCTGTACACAGACGCTAATCTTAAAAAAATAAAGGTGAATTTTTAAAATATTAAAATTTTTGAGGTCCAAAAGCACCGACAAATATTCAAGCACTGTTAAACCCTCCTTTAGATAGAGAAATTAACTATGAATCTTTCTTTTTTAACAATACTTTTGAAGTTGTAAGTTACAATACCTAATGTCTTGTTCTCTGGCATGCCTTTCCAATAGCAATATCCTATCAGAGGCTTCTTCTACTGCTGAAGCTAAATTATCTCGTTCCTCAGCTGCTCCCCGCAATCTTCGTTCCAACTCCTTATTCTTCTCCGTGACTAGGTCGAGCTCATCTTTCAATCCATCAACACTGTTTAAATGTTGCTATAAATCAAAGGAAAAAAATATTAGTATTCCTTTAATAATACAAAATAACGTACTTTTTGCATTAAGTGGGTTGTCATTTTTTATTTTGCATATAGAAACATAGTAGGCGCATGTCAACATTACACCAAATGTCAAAACTAACTGCCACCTTTAGGCCACGTTAGAGTTTTAGACCGCTTTGTTTAATGCTGTACCTACCTAACCTGAATTTTTGAAGTTGACAAGCCAGTCGAATAATGGAATTAAGCGGAGAAAGTTTTCGGGCAATATTTTTTTTACAATTTTCTAAGACAGTTGCCTCAGTCGAAAATTTCTCGTTGGTATACAGAATTTAAACGTGGATTAGTCTTAGCGACGATCTAAGAACAGGTCCACTAGTCCACCCACAACGGCAATCACCCAGGAAAACGTTGATGCTATTCGTCAGCTCATCTAAGAAGATCGACATGTGACATATCGTGAAACTGAAGCATGATTGGGCATTTAAAAGACCTCAATTCAAAAAACTTTACATGAATAAGAATTACCCGTAATAATTTAGTTTCTCATTAGATATAACGACCTGTTGATGGAAGAAAAATTAACAAATGGTTTCAAAAAACTCTACACCGGTTTAACGGAGAGGAAACTCCAAAAATATATACAGTATTGTCAGTGGTGATGAATCCTGGCTTTACTCATATGAATCCGAAAATAAATGTTAATCGGCTGTTTCCCAGTTGAACTCAAACCGAAGAAAATTATCCGTCCTCGAAGTTTGTTACTGCTGGTTGGTACATATTTATTTGTTTGCCTGAAGTAATTGGTCATTTTCCAAAAACCAACCCTCAACAACGAACGATCCTCCACCAAGACAATAAAAGTTTCCACACAACTCGAAAACCAATTGAGTTTTTAAAGCAAGAAAACCTCGAATTGTTGGATCATTTTCCATACAGTCCTAATGACTTTTTTGCTTTTCCAAAAATTAAGGATGAACTGCGTGGTCAAAGGTTCCAGTTCCCAGAAGATGCAATCAGCCTACAAAAATGAAAAAAATTGAAGGTAACCAACAAGCAAGTGGAATATCTGCTTTCAGAATTATTGGTCCAAAGGGATACAAAAACGCATTTCTCTTCGTGGAGAATACTTCGAAAAACAATAGTCTTTAAAATACATCTACCTCTATAAGCAAATTATAAAAGACAACCTCGAATTAATCTCAATTATTTGGTAAACTGGATAAAACTTATATTTTTTATTATAAAATCAAAGACTTTCAGTGCAATTTCATGAACAATATTACGTTACGAACTAAGTTTTTACCTGTAAACTGGATTTTCCCAATGAAATTTGTTCCTTATAACTATCTAATTGTTGCCTAAGTTGTATTTCCACCGACTGTGCTTCTTTTAATTGATGAGTTAATCTCCCATTTTGGGATGTTAATTCTTCGACCTACACAAAAAAAGTATATAATTTCTATTAGATGAAACACCTATTGGGAATCACTTGATAAAGGGAAATTAGAGATCAGTCATTAATTCGCAATCTACTTAATCACACCTAGCTCGATAATAACAAATCTGCATCTCATCAAAAATCAATTAATCGTTTTACAAGTTTTATTGTGGTCTTAAACTGTTTCTTTTTTTTTTGGTCTAAGATTGATACGTTATATTTTCGAAACTACGAGGTATTCAATGAATAATATTTATTCAGTTAGAATATATTTAATTGTAAATTAACGACTGACTTTTCTTAATGTGATTTTCTATTATCTATTTTGTATCTGATACAAATACTTACCAAGCTGCTTTTGTCTCTTTCCCATTGTTTTAACAAAAGGTCTTTTGCCGCTAATTTGTCCTTAACTTCCGTAAGGTCATTTTCTAATTCCAATATTCTAGCATCTAATTCGGATTCCTTACTTGTGAGCTTTTTTCGCAACAGATGTCGATCTTGTTCTACGATCTGTAAAACAGAGACAAAGAATTAATATATCAAAATCATTCACAAACAATATAATAATTAAAAAATAATTGATTCTAGCGGTCGAGAAATCAAACTCTTCTTAATAAGTAGTGATGCTATCTCTTATTATTCTTATTTCTGGAGTTCTATTGAAGCTCCTAATGTTTATTAGCAATTTTTGAAGTTTAAATATGTTATGTTATGATTTAGTATATGTTGCTTAATGTATTACTTAGGTATATTTTATGATATGTTTTTATAGGCATTTGCATTTTTATTTGAAAATGTAAAGGCGGACTCTGACGACTCGTGTACTTGTACAAAATTGGTAATTGGCATATACTTGCCATGTCGTGTGAGCGGCTTCCTCGTACCTGCAAAAAAAATTGCCAAGTTTAGTACGCAAATATTGGCGTACTTGACAAGTACACGAGTCGTGAGAATCCGCCTTAAGCTTAATTTTCATGCATCTGTTGTCCGACGATTCGATGATACGATATTAATTTTATTGATTGAATTTAAAGGCTTCGATTGGTTAACCTTTTCTAACCAATCGAAGTCTTTAAATTCAACCAATAAAATTAATATCGCATCATCGTATTGTCGGATAACGGATGCATGAATATCAAGCTTAGCTTTTTATTTAAACCAAATGCATTTGATATGCATATGCAATGGACTATTTTACACTGTCAATATAAACAATCTAACCCGATATAGATCTATAATAACATGGACGCATTTTACAGCTCCCATAAAAATTCGACACCTACATTTCACAACGGCCACAGTGTATCACCTAAACTACATACCTCTAGATAATAAAAGCGCACATCTGTCCATGCAGTAAATCCGTAATTTCCAGAAACAGACACATGGCACGCCTTAAATCCACCACAATAACTTAACGCTTGTAAAGTGCGGAAGCAAGTGATATATAACCGAGGGGAACCACCCGCAATAACCGGAAGTTCCGATACAATTATCTCCCCGAAATCTCTTTTGAATTCCTCGTCCCTAGTAGAAAGGCTTTTGAAATACACCCTTTTTCAATTGTGATAACTGTTAACAGTTATAGATAAACTTAATTAATTAAGTTAGGCGATGCTAATGTAGCTTAATTTTGTCATAGTTCGACTATTAAGGAAGTTATCAAAATGAGATATCAAAACAGTTTTTTACCTCATGCAAAGAAACACCAATATATTTTTTTTAATTTTAATAAGGTTTAGAACTCGTTTTTCCATGAAAAGCTAGCCTACACTAATTTTATTTTTAGCAGTTCAATATGAAAACGTGTTAATTAGATTCTTTGCTTGGTTAAAGACCTCGCTTATGTACCTATAAACCAACAAACGACAAGGAAACTATCGATTTCCCAAACATTAATTAATTTAATGCTATTTAGTCGCCCACCTTTATCGATTATTTGCTACATAAAAAGTGTAATGGTGGCGGTCAAGTTTATTTTGGTTTGTCTAATAAATATTTATGCGTAAATAAAAAAACTCTAATCATTGGTTTCTAATTATCATTGTATGAGATTTACATCATTCTTTTAAATATGCCTTTTAAAATGTTATTAGATATCTACAGAAATATAAATTTGTTTTGAGATTTATCGCAAATAGTTTTTGGTCATTTCTCTGACGAACTTAACGAGGACACTATTAAAAAAAATACAAAAATAATATTTTTTATATAAAAGTAAACATGTACTACAAAAATCGTATATATATTTTAGAAATTAGTATAAAAATTAGTATATAAATTAGTATAGAAACTAGTATAGAAATTAGTATAGAAACTAGTATAGAAATTAGTATAGATATTAGTATAGAAATTGGTATAGAAATTAGTATAGAAATTAGTATAGAAACTACTATAGAAATTAGTATAGATATTAGTATAGATATTAGTATAGAAATTAGTATAGAAATTAGTATAGAAACTAGTATAGAAATTAGTATAGGTATTAGTATAGAAATTGGTATAGAAATTAGTATAGAAATTAGTATAGAAACTACTATAGAAATTAGTATAGATATTAGTATAGATATTAGTATAGAAATTAGTATAGAAATTAGTATAGAAATTAGTATAGAAACTAGTATAGAAATTAGTATAGATATTAGTATAGAAATTAGTATAGAAACTAGTATAGAAATTAGTATAGATATTAGTATAGAAATTAGTATAGAAATTAGTATAGAAACTAGTATAGAAATTAGTATGGAAACTAGTATAGAAACTAGTATAGAAATTAGTATAGAAATTAGTATAGAAATTAGTATAGAAATTGGTATAGAAATTAGTATAGAAATTAGTATAGAAATTAGTATAAAAATTAGTATAGAAACTAGTATTGAAATTAGTATAGATATTAGTATAGAAATTAGTATAGAAACTAGTATAGAAATTAGTATAGATATTAGTATAGAAATTAGTATAGAAATTAGTATAGAAATTAGTATAGAAATTAGTATAGAAATTAGTATAGAAATTAGTGTAGAAATTAGTGTAGAATTTAGTATTTAACTGAAGAAATTGAGAATATAAATCTGATTAGTAGTTAAAAAGTACCAATTAAACTTTTAGTTACGTAATAAAGGGCGCGATTTTTAAATTCATCGTTGCCAACCATGGACATATTCGGTGCCGGCCTGACTAACAGGAATTTAAATTTTCCGCTGGGGATTCAGGTGGTAGCTCTGGTGTAAAAAATGTCAAGTTGCCACATTTATTTATTTATTCTGACATTATCATTCGTTTTCACTTCGTCGGACATTTTAGTTTTGTAATACTAGATTTTCGTTTAAATGAATTGTGTTGTGATATTTTAAGCTTAAAATTTTTTACTAGCAGACCTTGCAGTCGAAAATTTTTCTTTTTTAGAACCTCTTTTAGTGCCAAGTGTTACAAAATAGCTTAATAGCCGTAAAAACTCATAGCAATTTTAGAATATTTTGAACGGGAAAGCGTTTGTAATGGCCCTTTATGACCCTTAACTGCTGTTAAGATGGTGAGTTTTGTTGATGTAAATAATAACTATTTATACAGGATGAGTCAATATTTTCAGGGCCGGTAGATCTCGCTAAAAGAAACATATTTTCTCTTTACGGTTTTTCAAATAAGTCCAAAGTAACCGAGTTATTTTACTTTGAAAATTTCCAAAAAAAAATATTTTTTGCTTATATTTTGAGAACCATTGGATCATTTCTAGGTCTTCTTACTTGCAAATTTAATCTCCTACCTATATTGCCATATTATCGAGAAAGTTTGTTTTTTAACTAACTTTTTTAACTAAAAATTAAAAAAATTTCTTTCAAGAATTTTTTTCAAAAAACTCTTTGGATTTTTTTTGCGAAAAAAAACTCATAATTGTTTTTCTGGGATCGAAATATACTAAAAATATTTGTATTTATTTAATTATTACACTTATTATAATTAATTTATTTTTGTTTTCTAAAATATTTTGATTAAAAGAAAATATGTAAAAGCTCACAACGCTGTGCCGGCCAAGCTTAATTACGTGACTGAAAATTATTTGATATGAACTATAGGTGTATAACAAAGATAAATTTATTTTAATAATTGTAATTTATTAATTAAATTATATGGGGGGAATGTCATCGATGTTCATTTCCAAGCCAATTGGACGCCGGTTTTTTTCAATCATACGGTAGAAGTTCTATATAGTGCTCCCCCTATAAATCCTACTCTTATCACTTCGTAAAATTAAGCGGAGATAAATGTTTCCTGTCACTTCCCTCGTAATTTGTAATATATTTGTCATTTGAATCCGTATTTCCTTGTGTCACTTTATATGAAAAAAAAATCTCCCCAGAGAAACTAACTAAATCAACTTCACGGAAGAGTCTATTTCAATATCGGCCTATAAATAGAAGTTTGTTCTTTATTGTACCCATATATCAGAAACAAATTTAATGAAAGATTTTATCCGCAAAATAGGCAATTAAGTTTTTATATACAGTGCGATCGAATTAAAATAATGTCATAGTAGACTCACAGATCAACACAAATTTATCAGTAAGACGGAGAAACTAAATATAAGAAAGATGCACCAAATACAAAGCGCATGCGTATGATGAATCGTTATAAAAAAGCTGTGCCACATATTAAGTATTATTTCAATTGGGAATATATTTTTTACAAGAGGCAACAATGCAATGCATGAGAAAAAACAACAAAGTCTGACAGTCTGACAGTCTGACAGTGCCATAGCCCTATTAAAGACCATACACCAACACAATACTATAGACATTTTCGTTATATTTGATCCCCAGTATGCTGAGTATCAGATATCACGCAATACGACTATAAAAGTATATCATGGATGCGTTTCTAAAAATGCAACTCCGGCCTTTTATGTGGCACCAGAATAGCTTGTTTTCTATTTATAAAAATAAGGGATTATAGAGAAATAAATATTATTAGACTAAGTTTCCGGTCGTACAAGCGACATTGATAAATTTCATACAGAATAATGCTTTTGTTACACTGCCTCGTTTGCTAAGAATGGAGTTGTAAAAAATGTCTATACCTATGTATGTGGCCGATTCATCTCTCCAAAAAAATCCTTTATGGGTATTTCGCCACTGCACTGCAAGAAAATCTACAAAATAAAATAGTTATATTTTGTAAACACTTCTGCGTTAAACCTAAACGGACACTGCTTGTCAGAAATTATGTTTACAGTTATACAAATTTGCCTAACAAAGAAAAAAATGCTTAACGTTTCGGAAAGTTTATCTCTGTCCGTCGTCGGAAGCAAAAAAAATACAAAGAATAAAGAAAAAAACTATTTGAAATATTTAAATGCAACTATTCGAGAACACTTTACTTTTTTAAAATAGATACGTCTACAAGAAACCGTTGACCTTCTGTTAAAAAATTATTATTAATTAGTATTTTTTAACAGAACGTCAACGGTTTCTTGTAGACGTATCTTTATTCTTTGTATTTTTTTTTTGCTTCCG